GGAAGGGGAGGAGGAGGAGGAGGAGAGAAGGGGGAAGGGGAGGAGGAGGAAGAGGAGGAGGAGGAGGAGGAAGAAGAGGGAGGCATGAAACAAACGGGGCCATCTGGCCCACCGTCTGTTGTCTCTTTCTCCTCTGCTTTGGCCTTCGCTTTCAGCCACCGTGGTCTCTGGGCAGCCTCGGCCAATCACAAGGTTGTCTCTGCAAATGCGCTTTCTGGGCACGGCTGGATAAACAAATCAGACCCTCCATGGGAGGCGTCTGACGGAGCTACGGATGTGTCCAGATGCCGAGAACTACCAGGCAGAAAACAGCCCATCCTTTTCTCCTCTCCTCTTTCCAAGAAAAGGATGCTCAGATTCTTCGTTGAGAACACCAAGCAGGGAAAACGAGGCATTTGAGAGCAAAGCCAGAGCGAAGGAGGGGAACAAAGACAACCGGACGAGGGAAGGTGCAACGGGAAGCCAAAAGGCCCACACCTTTGTCTCCAAACTTGAGGAGGGGGACCTTCTGGTTTCCTTCCTCATAATATGAACAAGCCAGTTGTGATTGGATGCCAATGCCTCACTTTACGGCAACAGAGAGAGAGAGAGAGAGTCGGAAGTCAACGTTTCTTTTTTTCTTGTCCTCCCTCCCTTCGCTTCTCCCTCTTCCGTCCCACCGTTCTTTTCCTATTTACTTTCCCCTTTTGTATCTAATTTTATAGCCCAATAAAAATTGTTAAGCTGAGAAAGAAGAGCTGGGCAACCTTCCAGCAGACAGGCCTGCACTTCAGTTTGGCCGAACCAGTAATGGTTTTGCCAGCCTGTTTCACCAGAACTGGCAGAGACGCAGGCCTGCCACGCCTCCGAACCAGTGCCCCGGTTGGCATGGCATGTTTTTTCCCCCCCAATTTTTTAAATGTTCTGTGCATGCACAGTCCTATTTATGGGCAACTGTGTTTGGGGTACACACGAAGCCCTTGGCATGCACCAAAATTGCGTGCACACTGAACCGGCAGTAATGCCACCAGCAACCCTCCCCCACTGCACTTTACGGGTGATAAAACACCTGGCCAAATGCCCTAAGTCCTAATGTTATTGCCTTTCCTTCCTTCCTTCCTTCCTTCCTTCCTTCCTTCCTTCCTTCCTTCCTTCCTTCCTTCCTGTTAGAATGCAGCACTGCAGGCTAACTCACTGCCCACTGCCAGCAGTTCAATCCTGACTAGTTCAAGGCCGGCTCAGCCCTCCATCCTTCCGAGATGAGTAAAACGAGGATCCCGATTGTTGGGGGGCAAGAGGCTGACTCTGTAAACCGCTTAGAGACAGCTGTGAAAGCACTGTGAAGCGGGATATAAGTCTAAGCGCTATTGCTATATTGCTACATGTCTTTTTAAAAAAAAATCTAACATCTCTACCAGATGGTGGGTTCCTACCAGTTCGCACCAGTTCGGTAGAACCGGTTCGTAAAATCTACTGAACCAGTTAGAAGAGGTTCCACCAGTGGACCCGGAAAGCAGGCCACACCTACAGAAGAGGTTCCAAATGTTTTTGAAACCCACCACTGGTCCTTGGANGAGCCATCGTCTGAGCTTCCCTCCGCCCCCCAGGACTGGCCCATGTTCCTTCTCAACCTCCTCACTGATTTTTCTGCTGCCGGCCGACCAAACACTCCCCAAATGCTACACCCACCCCAAAATTTGCATTGTGCCTCCTGTGGTTGACATCCTCCCCAAACCAAAGCACCACCCCCAAATCCCCAAAGATGATCAGTCAAAAAAAGAAGGGGAAAAAAGAAGAATCTACATACGTTTGCTAGGTTTGCTCTGCGAAGAGGAAGCTAAGTTCTCCATCGCTCCGGGGCTGGTACGTTCCGAATCGTTCTCCTCTGAGCTGACAGAAGCTCTGGGCTTTTTCCTGGAAGCACACAAAGTCCATTCAGGAGTGGTGGCTTAGAGTTGGAGCTCTGGCCTCACATTCAGGAGGCTGCGAGTTCGATCCTAGGTAGCGACATATATTTCTCTCTCTGGCACAATGAGAATATATTATCTGCTGAACAAAACTCCGCATTGGTGACAGGAGTGGCATCTGGCCAGTAACTACTCAGCTCCATTCAGTTGCCCCATGAGGGATTACGGGGTCATTATGACAAACAACAACACAGAGTCCATTCAGGAGATCAGAAGGAACTTAACCCAGGTTAAAACCTTGGCTTGGTGTCTTTTATGGATCAGACTTAATTTATATTTCTTGGGTCAAAATGGACCATAACACAATTAGGTCAGGTTTCTCCCCCCCCCCCCAGATTTTCAGATCCAAGTTTCTGTTTGAAAAATAGAACAATTTTTTTTAAAAATTGGGGAGGGTGGGGGCAGAATATTCCCATTAAGAAATATTCCAGGCAAAAATGCATATATATTGAAATCTCTTTTTTGAAGGGCAGTTGAGGGGGCGGGGGAGAGGGAAGCATCTTTTAATCTCAAATGTTCGCCGAGCCGAACCAGGAAGTGTATTTCATTCTGAGCAATTTGGAACATTTGCATAAGGGCTTCATTATGCAAATGGCACAAACGATGCCATTTGCATCATTAATGGAAGGAAGTCACCCTGGAAGTCTATCATTTAGATAATCGTGTCCTTAGGCCAATAATAGTAATTAGCATGGAATGTTGGTTTCTTCCACGCTGTGTCCATTAAATTGAAGCCTGATAAAAGTTTCATTTGCTGGAATTATACTGGCATGTGAAAATAATAACTTCACAGGTCGGGATTCTTTTTTTTTTAAAGTCGGAATGATATGGAAATTGAGTGGGAGTGATTTATGGGGAAAAAAACATAAATTATCCAAAGATTGCTTGGTAGTTTTTTCCCCACTGACTTACCCATTACTCAATGGAGGAGAAAGTTGAATTGAATCAGTACACAAAGGTAACACTTGTTTCTCATCTGCGAACACGATAAAACATTGTGTTAGTTCCAAAACTTTTGTTTACCAAATGTTCTCACAATTAGATCTTTTGATTTGGTCCAGAAAATCAAAGAACTTCATAAAAGGCCTTCACTATTAAGGACATCTGCTCGTGGATTTAATTTTTAGCTTTCCAAAAATGGACATGAATCTCCCAGTTCAGGTTTTGTATATATCTTGAGGGGTTTCTAAAGGTAAAGCTTCCTCTCGCACATATGTGCTAGTCATTCCCAACTCTAGGGGGCGGCGCTCATCTCTGTTTTAAAGCCGAAGAGCCAACGCTGTCCGAAGACATCTCCGTGGTCATGTGGCCGGCATGACTCAACGCCNTCTCCCACCTGCAGGGTAAACCCAAAACTCAGCTGGCCAGCGGGAGGCGCACATGCTGGTCAATGGCTTGCGTGTTCGCAGAGAGGGCTCCGCGTGCCACCTGTGGCATGTGTGCCATAGATTTGTCATCATGGCTATAGACCAATGCCTGCTCTAGTACATTAAATGGGAGGGAGGGAAGGAGGGAGGAAGGAAGGAAAATTAACTGAGATGGCAGAATGATTGGCTGCAGCCTTAATGGGCAAAGTCTAATTGTCCTGACTTATTTTATAATTCAATTTCCCCAGTTGTATCTGCAGCAAAACGATAAGGCATAGGCTTATTGTGTGTTTTAAAATGATTTCTCACTTTTAAAAAAATCTCATTTGGGTGGAACACCCAAGATCGGCACTTATGTCAGCTTGTGGAAGTCCAGTTCCAAGCATTCATTTTTGGCATTAAAGCTCAAAACCTCTGTGCTAAATCTCATCCATATTTGCTGACTAGCAGTTTACACCCAAGATTATTACTGCACTTGCTTGAAATTTGGAGAAGCACAGCAAAATGTGTGATGATGGTCAATAGGAATTTATCCAAGCAGGCTATTTCCCTCCCAGCTTCAGGCATACAAAACAGTAAACTGGCATAACATAAGCATTTGCCTATAAACAAAGATGTTTGGATACCAGGTCAGACTGGGTATCTATATGTTCAATCAGGCAGAAGAGGGCATTTGGCAAGTAACTGTAACTGTGTAACTGTGCTGGAACTCCCAAGCCACCTTAAAGACACCCAAGACTATCCTGTTTTGCATTTGATTATCTAAATGAAATCTAGCACAATGTTGTGCTAGATTGCAATATCTCCAGGTCACCTACATGGACAAAACTCACTCAACGCAGCATGCACTATGATTAAAAGAAATAAAACATCAATAAAGGGACTATTAAAATGCATATGCCTTTGCCCCCAGTTCTTTAGAACAGAATTGGAATTCCAGGTCCAGGTAATCCTCATTTAGCAACTGCCTTGTACAGTAACTGTTTGTAGTTACAATAATGATGAAGAAGCAATTTTGCAACAAATCCTGTGTAGGAAAAGCAGTGGCTTTGAGAATCTAGGAGTGGAGTTAAAAGAGGGATCAACTTAGAATTTTGACGTAGTCACAAGCAAACTAAATCCAACCTCCTTTGAATTTTGTTGACCCGTATCTAATTCCAACCAGGTGCAAACAGTTAGTTGAGAATATTCTTATGCATAGGCTTTTAGGCAACAAATCAGTTCAATTGGACCTTCAAACGTGGACCTGATCTTTTGTGCAGCATCCCATTTATGATTTTAACAAGTCTGTAAAGCAAAGGAAAGCAGAACTGAGTTGATAAGTCTAGTTCCAGTTTCAATTAGTTACTGTTGTTCTTAATGAGCAAGATACCAGTCCTAATTGTGGTCACTAAATGAAGATTACCTGTATAACAACCAGACATATTCCAAGGAAAGTGGCATAAATAAATGGATCTTTAAGGTTTTTGAAATCAATTTGCAGTCTCTTCTTTATAGAGAGGCTAATGATAAACACAGCCACACACACAAATACACACAGAAATGACTAATTGAGCAATCCCCAAAAGAGAATAAGAGAGGAAAGTCTAATAATTATTAGAAACAACAGGGAGAATTGAGAAGAGATTGGAAAATATAGATTGTAATGCAGTAAAATTCAATGGAAAAATTGAAG